GCAAGTCACAGTAGTCTACAAAGGCATGAAAGAACCCATACTGGAGATAAACCTTATGAATGTAATCAGTGTGGTAAAGCCTTTGCATGGCACCGTCATCTTCTCAGGCATGAAAAAACACATACTGGAGAGAAACATTATGTATGTAATTAGTGTAGTAAACACTTTGTTTATCATAGTCATCTTCAAAGACGAACTAACACATGCTGGAGAAAAGCCCTATGAATGTAATGAGTGTGGTAAAGGCTTTGCACTACACAGTACTCTTCAAATGTGTAAAAGATCACACACTGGAGATAAACTCTATGAATGTAATCAATGTGATAGGGCATTTGCTTGTATGAATAATCTAAACCGTGAGAAAAAAAATCATACTGCAGAGAAACCCTATAAATATATTCAGTCTGATAGTTTTGTACTTTATATAGGAGTAAATCTTTTGTGTGCAACAATCTGTTAAAATCTTTGCATATTACAATAGACATTGACTACATGAAAAAGATACCAAGGACTTCTTATTATAAAATATTTGGTAAGATCTTTAGCCAAAACATTTATAATCAGCTACACAATGATTTGGGATTCTCCTCTGTATGCTGTGAATGTATTCTGTTACCATTGTTTAATAAAGAAGCTGCTTTGGGCCTATGACAGGGCATCATAGAGCAAGGCAGGAATTCCAAGCAGAGATAGTGGAGAAAAGAAAGGGGAGTCAGACTCTATGTATCTGCTGAAGGAGACAGATGCCCTTACTGGTAAATCACAAATTTTGTGGTAAAATACAGAATAATAGGAATGGGTTAATTTAAGATGTCAGAGTTAGCTAATAAGAATCCTGAACTAATTCTAGGCCAAGCAGTGTTTTAATTAATATAGTTTCTTTGTGATTATTTCTGGTCTGGGCAGCTAGGAATGAACAAGAATCCTCTGCCTACAACACGACTATTTCTTCTGTAGAAATAAGTTTAACAGTGTTAACAATCTTTTCAAGCATTATGATGTCCTTTTTATACTGTTTGTACTTACAAACTCATGGTAAAATGAATTTGTGAATTTATGAAGCCCTATGTGTAGGGTAAATGGGCCAGTCAAAAAAAAAAAAACACATCCTGACCCTGAAACCAGAGCCAGTGAAATACATGATTTTGCCTCTGAAACTGGAGCCAAAGAAATACATTCTGACTCTAAAACCGAGACAAAGAAACACTTTGTTCCTGAATCCAGAGCCAATGAGAGAAACACCTGACCCTGAAACTGGACTCACTTCTTAAGTCTTCCCAAATGATTTATTCCATCAACTTAGAAGGATCGATTTCTCAGACTTCAAGCCTACCTGATTGCTTCATGGTGAAGAAAAACTTTGTAAGCCATTGGGTACCTTAACACCTGTATTATAGGAATGAATTCTTACAAGAGAAAAATATTCATGAGTGAAAATATGTTTAAAGAGTTGTTTTAATTGTGATTATGTGATATCAGTGTGTTTTTCTGTGGGTATGTGAATGTGCATATTGGTTTCTGATAATGTTAGACCCTAGGATTTTCTAGCAGAAGTTACAGGAAGTTGTCAAAAATTAGACCTTGGTCCTGGGATTGTACATTTCTTAACTGCCCAGCCATTTTCTAGTGCTCTAAATATTTTAAAGCCTATGTGTTTCAATTCAAAGTCAGGAACTAGGGATAAACTCACACAGAAGAAAACTCTATATCTGAAAATGATTTTGTAAAGACTTTAGACATCACAGTTGCCTTTACCTTCAAGAAAAAATATTTCATTTATTTATTTTTTATCATAGCCCCATGAAAATGTCATTAATAGCAGTAAGGTGTGATTGGTTGTTCTAAGTTCATCTTTACCTCAGCCTTGATGACTCAAAAGATTGATAGCATCAGAAACTAACTTAGACTTGGTACTTAAAGAATTTTCCAAGACAAAATCTCTACAAAACGAGGGAAAAGTACAGTGAATGATCAGGAGAGAACTGACAATAAAAGTCTTTTAAAGATGGTTGACTATTTAACTATAGCCACAAGAATGAGTTTATGTCCAATAAGGTACTGATATATTTTTATTTCAATCATAATGCATAATCTAAAAGATAGTTTTGATCTGTAAATCTCCATCTGCCTAGGTGGCTAGACTTGCATCCTCCTGTCCCTATTTAAACTGTTCAATGTATAATCTCAGGCCTGAACCTAAAAAAAGACGTAAGGATGACAGTGTATGTGGAATGCAAAATCTGGGCCAGGTTGTCTCCTCTTGTAGCATTAACCACTATTGAATGCATACTGTTATTAAAGGAATTCATGTCTGTTTTACTTTAAGTGTGTGAATGATTTATTCCTGGGAAGGCATATTAATTCTAGAATAGCAGTACCTCCAGCATTGTAGAAAAATGTTTCTGAGACAAGCTTTTGTATGTTGGATAAGGTAGCCTTGATCCCATGCCATTGCTCCCCAGAGCAATGACCTTGTTTCCCTTGTGATTAAACTAAATTCTTAGATCAAGGAACTCAACCACCACTGAGCTCTAAAATTGAAAATTCGAGACATACAGTCAACTGTCTATTTCATTAACAGGAAAAGGATTTCCACCTTCAGGCCAGAAGAGAAGGAATAGTTTACTGCATACACTGTCAGTAAGCAAACAGCTGCTGGAGTCACCATTATGAAATAGCATCTAAATGTGACAAAATCAGTAATTTTGTAATTTCCCAGCATGTGTTAATCTATGTCATGTGAATGAAGGCAGGATAGATTTTGGGTGTACAATTCGGGAAGGTTAGCTTGAGTCAATAAATATTGAATTTCTAACAAGGGAACTCTCCTATGCTTATATGTTCAATCCTGCCTGTCATTATATCCATTAGCTGTAGTTGTGTGTTTCAGGTCACAGGTCTCAGCAACTGACATTGCACATAGGGGCATGGTGAAGTAATATCTTTTTAATGTCAATCTCTCTACCAGGGAATGTTTTTCTCTTTTTCAAAGTCAGTATAACTGTGTGTCTTTAAAAATTATATTTATGTTTTTTTAAAAAAGATAATTCCTGTTTTCACTTTTTAAATGTTATTTCCTTTATATGCATCACTGCTCTAATCTGTTTCTGTCCCCTATTGTTTCCAGTCATTAAGAATTTCTTTCCATTTTCCTCAAATGCTGTTGATCATTTCTGTCTCTGGTAGCTTAGGCTTATCTCACACTATAGAGTTGAAAATTGCTTTGAACACCTAATCCTGCTTCTGCTGCCCAGAATGCAAGTCCTGCAACTGCTTCAAGACTGTTCAGTGAGAAGGAAAATAGATGAGTAAATGAGTGTCCTCCAACTGACAAACTGTAAAGCAGGTGTAGTCCCAGCACAGAAAGGGGTGGCCAAGAAGGAGCATGAAAGTTTCCCCCCTTAGACCATAGCTTACATTAGAAATAAGTAGTGAGGTAATCAATTTTAGATGATTA